TCAGTAAATAGTGTAGTGATCATGAGACTTCAGTTATTGCCATCTCATTTCGTACAAAACCGATATAATAAATAGAAAAAGTCACGTGCGCCATTTCAAAAACAATTTAATAAGACAATTTGAAGAAAAATAATATGCTATGAGGCGGAAGTGGTGGCAATGCCGCTCAGGCGTCTTAATAGGCTGACGGAAGGAAATCCTTTTGGTCCAGGGCGACCAGCCCTCTCGCTGTCCCAGTCAGTGTCCAGGGGGACTCGAAATTATGCGATTATCGTGACAGTAAGGCGAGAGAATAAAACCCACACAAGCCGCTTAAAGTGCTATCAAAGCTGTATTGGTCGAGGGCTTCCGTCTGGGTCGAGCTGCTCCTGTTGCTTCCGCCCAAGGACCCCCAGTTCCACCAAGCGCCCAAACTGGCAACACAATGCTCTGTGACGACGAAGAAGGAGTCGCCGCACCAGACGGAGGGACTGTCTTGAACCACCCAGCTTGACTGAGACTGAGACTCTCACTTCTGCACTTTGTGTGAAATAATTGCTAGGAATTTTCACGCGTATTTCCGCCATCGCCTTCCGCCAGGTTGAAGGCAGTCCTGGCAGCGACTTCTTCCGCCTGGGCACTAAACATTTCAGAGCAATTTTCAGCTCACCTGCGCGCAAAGCATTTCCACAGCTCGTTCCGTTCGTCGTTGCGATTTTAACAATTTTATTAAATTGAATTTATATCATTTACACGCTTGTCGACTTCAAGTCTGCCGAGGACGGCGGCATCTTCCTGCCGCTCCTCTGGCGTTTAATTTCGCGCTTCCGTTTTATATGGCATTTCTGTAGAATATGCCCGCTTAATGGCTGGGTGGAGTCGGTTTTTTCCCGGGCATGTCGAGCCTTTGGAAATTGTTGCTTTCACGATTATTGATGCGGGTGAAATTTAATTGGTCCCTTTGCCTCTGTCCGTCCGTCGATGAGATCTGTGAAGCGCCAGTCTGACTGCTTATTAGATAATATTTTTCCAGACTAACGAGTTGCAGATTAGACCCGTTGGGGGAGACTGCTGTGCTTTAAATTCGGGGAATTGGGGGAGAAGCATTTAAGGATGGAGAAAATCAACTGATTTGACCGTTTCCTTAGGTCCCATTGCCCCTTTGAAGCCCAAGTGAAACTGGCTTGCAAACTTTTAAAGAGTTGCCACGCATGTCTCTGCCGAAAATTTGTTTAAATAAAAGAAAACTTTTCTTATTTCGCGCAAAGCTTTTTCTCACGAATAAATATAAAAACGAGTGTGCAGCAGTGGCAACAACAAACAAATAAGCGGCAAAGAAAACTTCGACGCCGATACAATTTCGTAAAATGTCGAAAACTGTGATTGCGTGGCAGGCAGAAGAGGGCTTACTCCCCGCTGCCCTGCTCCTTGCAGAAACACAAACTACTTCAGCGACCAACTTTGAGTCAAATGTAAATACTTTTCCTGGCAAATATTATCACAATTCCACGCGGCTGCTGGCAGAGATACTAAATAAACTGTTGGCTTGGGTCGCAGTCGGAAAGGAAGCTGCAGGAAATATCTTGGAATTGCAATCAAAAAGAACTTGACTGGAGCGGCGTTGGGGCAACAGACCCTCCTCTTTGGCGTATATTCATAATCTGGAAAGGGAGCAGTGAAGAAAGAATAACGAATAAAGAAGGCTAATACCGGAAAATCGATCCATTTCGAAAACTAACTGACTAACGCCTGTTTCCTGGCGCAATTAGGCAGCGCAATGTGTCGAACAAATTAGTCCAGAGCCCCTCCGATCCGCACACAGGAGGCGCATAAAATTTCATGTCCTCGAATATTGCGCATACGCCGCGTGGCGCTGCGCTAGAGCTTCCAGGCGATAAACTGCCAGTGCCTGCAACGGGCGACCGCGACCACATGGCCATCGTTTGGAAGGGCAATGACTAGAACGTGGCCCGCCGCATCCGCATCGATTACCATTGCCGGCAAAGGGGTTACGGCATTCGGGTCCTCGGACAGGGGGTCCTGTCATGGGCAACGACATGCCATATTAATCTGGTTAATGATGAAACTGAATCACCGCTTTAAACGAGCCACTGCGCAATGAAGTGCCTGCTCCTGCTGCCGCTTCGGCTGGTCATGGCCTAGGAGGTCCTTGGCCTGGCTGCGTCGCATAAATGGCCCCGGTTGCAAATAAATTAGCTGCGGCTTTCTCTCGCCTTTCTGCCACTGACCATAAAGTTGCCGGACTCGCCAATTTTTTACTCTCCAGTGTCGCGGCCGCTGCGTGCTGGAATTTAAGACAAGTTTATCTCGCCTGCTAGTTGAGTTTTTGCTTGCATATTTAATGGCTCGCTGCAAAATTCGATTGCTAGAGTTAACAAAACAAATTACTGTAGGCAATCCTTTTTTTCCTTTAGGGCCACTGTGTGTGTCCCTAAAGCTGGCCTCGCTTAAAGCTCCCTTGTGTCCCAATGCCTTACGTTTCCCACACAGTTGTCGAAAAATTGCTCAATTATTCAAACCAATTTCACGCATTTAATTGTGTAAATTTAGCCAGGCATGACAGACACACACTCCCATTGCCGCAGCCCGGATCCTGGACCACCCACCGGGCAATGTCCGAGGACTAACGGTACGTAACGTCATAATCACCCCGAAGCGCACGTAATTGGCCAATCAATTGTGTCATTGTTCGCATTTATTACGCGACCTCTCGGACTCTGGCTCTGATCCTGCGTCTGTCTGGGGCTCGGGCCGCCCTGATTTATATGACATAGGGAGGGGACTGTGGGCGGGCCTGGGGGAAGTCCAAGTGTTAGGCCTAAGAGGAGAGAAATTAAGAAAAGAAAACTGCTGCAAATGAGATCCTGCGACAGAAGTTTCCATGCAGTTTTCGCTTCATTCTGTTGTGGTTTTGTTTTGCATCTTTTTGCTGTTTTTGTTTTCAGCTGTAACTTTTTAACAAATGCACAAAACGAATGACAACTTCCGGTTCCGGGGAGGGGGCGGGCATAGGGGGTTTCAAGCAGCCTGAGAAGTCCGTGGAGGCACGGCCGGCTGTCACTGCGAAAAATTACATGCCTTGCGCAAAAGTTTTGCCTCTTGATTATTCTAACATCAAGTCGACACGAGTTGCGGTTTTTGCAATTTTTCTTCAACTTCCCCCACCAAGTAGCCGAATTCTTCTCCGGAGAATTTCTGCACAGTCAGACAAAGTGAGAAGCGAGGCACAAACTTGTCCCAGGACTCCCGCCCAGCGCACATGCTGCCAGCCCGGAGACAGCGACTCAGACACCCAGGGAACAGGAATTTGGAACGGGCTGCTGGTGAGTGGCACGGGTGCTGTGCTGAAATTATACGCTGCATTTTAATCACAATTCAAATCAACGGAATCATCGTCATTATTCCGAACAGCAGGCGTCTCTGCACGCCAATCCATTCAGGGCAGGGTGTCCTCCTCCCTGTAAAAGAATGTTTCGAAGTGGGAATGTCGTGGAGAAGGTACTTTGGAAACAATTTTTTGTTGGGTCCTGCACGTGGCACGTGGGGCCTCATTAACTCTTCGCGAGCTCCGAAGCGGTTAAAGCTGTTGTCAGCCATAGAGAAGATCGCTCTTTGCGAAGCCTTTCCGATTTAATTACTAATTTAACCCAAATTTATTACAAGTTGTCTTCGTATTATTCTTAAAGAAAATAGTGTGGTTAGCTAGTGGATTGGTTATCAGGAAACATCATAATTCACAGGACCTGGCATACAGTGCAGGAAGAGCACGCGCACCTTGCGTCCGGTGGGAAAACTTTTGTCGAACATTTTCAGAGTGATTTATTAATGGGCAAGCCAATGCAATTTTCCAGGCTTTGACAAATGGCGATAAGCAGCGCGCAAGAGCGGCAAAAACGACAGGAGAAAATGGAAACTGTCAAAATGAGGCAAATCAATGACAGTTGCAATTTGAAAAAGTTCCTCGGTCGCCGCCCAAGCCAGACGCAGAACTAGCTTCGCCTCGATCTTATCGTGTGGGGCAATTAGCATTTGTGGCAATGTTGCAACAATAATTTAACGGGCCGGCAGGAGCTGGCAAAGAGGACAGAAGGAAAAAATGCTGGAGTCCGTTGGGCAAGGATGGGAGAGTGTGGAGAAAAAATTATTTGATTATCCTGCGGCCATGCGCTGTCACAATTTCGCAGACTGCCCGCCGAGCGTGTCGGCTGGGTCCAGGCTGGGTTCGGGTGTCCTCCTTCCTCCGCATCGCCTGGTCCTGGCGGAGTCCTGCAGCAGCAGCAGCAACAGCAGCCCTATGAAAAGTGCCACATCAGCGAAAGTCTGTTAACTTCCGGTTTATGGTTACAGCAGCTTATGGAGTCATTTCCGCCTGCTCCCCCCGGAGCCCTGCAGTTTCCATTCATTCGGCTCAGCCGGGTAGCGGGACATCCGGACAGCAGGGCAGCCAGCTGGCGGTGCCCGCAGACCATTCTATTAAATCATCATTTCACTCTGAGCCCCGTCCAGCCGTTGCGCTTCCTTCGGCGCACTGCGCTTGCGGTAATTTCATTCTCCTTTTTTCGGTTGCAAGTGCTTCCTTTAGATTTATAATTAAGATTTGGTTAGCTGCAAATAGCGGCTCTTTTTAATTTATGTTACCTTGCCGGGCAGGCATCTTCAGCTGCCCGTAAAGCGGTAATTTATCATATTTTTAGCGTCAGCTCCTAACAAATTGTATGGCGACAGAGGACACGAAAGGGAGCTGTGAGCAGGACCCGAGGATGCAATTTAATTACGCTGGGAGTCTGTGCCTGAGAGCCACATAAGTGGACCTGAGCATTTTCATAACCGAAGAATAGATCCCTATGCTGATACGGCTTCAATGGATCTCGCTGCCATGGTTTGCAAATGGAAAACTGATGAGATTATAATAGAACATCCATTAGGGCCTCAGGTCTGACTGACTAAATCGAATTCAACGAGTTCAGTCTTTTGAACAACTGAACGGCTTACAACAAACGATGTTGACGATCCAGGGCGCTTTTCTTTTCGGGCTCATATCCTGTTCAGCTTGGAGATATCTCGAGGGCCATAAGGTGAGATCCATCACCCAAATTTACAAATATTTTCGGCTCTCAACTCTCTTGCAGTCCCTGAACTATCTGCTCTTTCGTAAGATCACCACAGAGTGCAACAGCAAGTACATTTCGCTCTATGAAGTCGGAATCAGTGAGGACCACTACACGATCAACTTCACCTTGCACTTTGCCAGAGATATAACCGCGGACGTGTGGCTCAGGGCCGCCATTGGTCAGCGTGTATCCAAGGACTCCTACAGGGACATCTTCACCTACGATGTGAACCTGTGCCAGGTCATGGGCCGGGGCAAGGGAATCAGCCTAATCAATTACTGGCTGGACAATATCCTTAGGCAGTCCAATATGCCCCGGAGTTGCCCGCTCAAAGAGGTAATTAAACACTTAAATTGCAGTGATTGTGAGTACTTATGAGCTTATTCCTTAGGGTAACTACTATATGAACAACATTCGATCGGAAAGGGAGACCATTCCGCGATTTATCCGCTCCGGAAGCTTCCGGATAAACTCAAACATTTACGTGAGGGACTGGCACAACGACAACCTGACGAACACGGTATTCTACGTTGAAATCAAAATGAAGTGATTGGAGGGTCCGGTCCGGTGGCAGTGAATAGGAGTCCGCGCAACTGGTCACATTAAAAAGCAATGAATCATTGAAGAGCTCAAAACTCCCAGGCTAACATAGCTTCTCACTTCCAGTCGACTAAACCGTTGCACGTGCATTTCCCATAAATAAATTAATGAGCTCCTCAACAAGGACACGGATCCGGCATAGAATGGAGACACAGACGTGGCTGGCCGAAGTGCAAGCTGCGATTTATGCTACTCCACAATCTAAGCGCAAATAATTTAAACACTGTCAATAATAGTTGGCGGACAAACTATTTTTCTATAAGAAGTTTGCTTTTGCCTTTCTGCGTCCTTGGTCCTTAGTCCTTGGTCCAACTCCTCTCGACACGTTCGCACGCGCTTCCAAGGATACCCCGGGTTTTTTCCTTGCCTTCGCCATCAATTGCACATCCGCTGCAGGAGTGATGGGGTAGAAAGCAATTTCTTGTATTTTGTCGGGACCCGTGGAGAACAAATGTCGGACCTGGGCAGTGGGAGTCGAGGACAGTCAGTGGAGCATCTCTGGGAGCGATGCAGGGGATACGGCGAGGCGAGGCGAGGCGGGGGAGGGCAAGTGCGGATGACTGAAGAAGTGGCATCGTGTACTCAAGGAAATTGCCATCATTATACTTGTCGCAGTTGCCGTGAGTTGTGTTAAATAACGTTTAATGTTTGTTTGGCGTGAAATTGATTTACAGAAGGGATTCACGTCGCCGCTCAAAATACATCCAGTGGGTCTTGGGAGCTGTGCCTTAGTCCAGATAGGTTTACAATAAATTAAATCAACTGCCAGCCATTCTTTGGTATTGTTTCAAAGAACCCCAATTAGGTGGCTGAATGGGCATTTGAGCTAATTAAGCACAACTCACCTGACTTTCACTCATTCCCCGGCACACTCTCATTAGTCAACCGACATGTCCGTAGGCGTTGTCAGGACCAGCAACAGTATGTGGCCTGCCGTCACCATCACCACATCCTATAATTATACCAGCGGGAATCGGAACAAATTGGCGAGCACGAGGCCGGCGGCAAATCACTGGGGAGGCCGGGAAGTGAGGCACAGTAAGGGCAGGCAACCCGGGGGAAAGTGTGAGGCCAGCTGACATCAAGCGACAATTAGGAAGCGATAAAGTTAAACGCTCACAAAGTCACATGTTGGCAGACGACGTGTCGTCTAATGTATTCTTTTCCTGCAAGTTTCATTTGCTGCATGCGACAGCTGCTCTGCCGTAAGACACTGCGTATACGCGACGAGGACATGGCAGTGAAATTGAAATTCTCCTTGCCAGAAGCAGCGTCGTTCCGTTCTGCTAAACTGATAATCAACGCAAAGGCCTTGCCCTGCAATATGTTGCACCCTTGTTCAGGATATTATTATTTCTCGCAAGGAGTCACAGACAATAGCGGCTGCAAACTTAATGGTTTCCATTCGCTGCGAGACTGCGGAAAATGTCAACATTATATTACACAATGTTGCTCCAGGGGATATAGTTTTGTTGTTCGTTTTAAGATGGTTTTTTTTGTTTATTTGCTTATATTCGATACACCTAGTTGGATAGGATCGAATCAATTGATAGAGTCAGTGCCTCCTCGTAGGATTTGGTTTTATATTTTCCATAAAAGAAGCTCAGCTGGCCGCGATATTCGCCTGGTATGAGAAACTTGTGCGTCAAGGAGCTCCCCATGCGCCAGTTGTGCAGGTAATAGTGACCCACCTCCACCGGGCAGTTGTACATGAAGTTGCTCTGCCTGGTCATATCCTTGAACCAGGTCTTAAACAGGCTGTTCTTTACACTCGCAGTCACGGCGCACACGTCGTTCTTCTGGTTGAACACTGACTGGAAGTTCTTGGCGTTAGCCAAACGCAGCTGAATGTCGATATTAGCCTTGAAGCCCCTCTGAATGGGCCTGTTTAGGTGCATATCCATGTTCATCATGTTGTCGACAATGGTTAGAGTGAAGTTCTTGAAGTATTTCGGGTTGAAGGTGCAGTTGCCCGTTAAAAATGTCACACTGCGATCCTGAAATAGGTTAATCTTGAGCAGGGTCCTGAGGTCCTAGGTCCAGTGACTCACCGCCATAATTAGATTAAAATCAAAAGCTGCTTGAACAATCACGGACCAAACGATCAGTTTCCACATTTCAGTGCCCGTGAATAAACTCAAATGAGAGCTCTTGAAATCAATTACGAACAAATTTCGACCACAAACTTCGATTACTAACTATAGTTATTTATTTCTATGCCATTAGCCACCAAATGTGTCATCCGCCATCAGATATGTATGATGGCATCGGCCGTGCAGCTCATAATGAAGTCCTCATCTTTGCCCTTGTATTTTCCGAAAAAGTTGTAGGTCTCCAATCGATACGATCCACTGGTTATGAACGGCGGCACTAGGCCCTCTCCGAACTGCCAGCCCTTTAGGTAGTAATGACTGACATTGAGCGGACACTGGCGCAGGAAGTTTCCGTACTTGAGCAGGTTTTTGTACCACTTTTTGAAGAGGTTCATCTTGGCAGCGTTTACAATGTTGCAGACATCGACATTGGTAGAGAAGAGGCTCCGGAAGGTCTTCGAGTTTCCCACGCGCAGTCGGAAGTCTAGTCTGGCCCTCCAGCCCTTAAGAAGCGGCTTCCGCAGGTACATGTCCAGGAAGATCTGATCATCTCGAATCGTAAATGTGAAGTTCTCAAAGTAATCGCGGTTAAACTTGCTTTCTCCGGCGATGAACTTTATATTGCGATCCTAGAGGGACCACCTAAAACTGTTGAGTACTCAAGGAATTCGTCACTGCCATTGCCTTTTCACTCACCGCTTTGACAGAGGACACAAATATTGCGAGGCACAGCTGTATGTTCAGCGTAATAAGCTTCAGTACCCACCCTACCATCTCTGTTCACAAAACAATACAAAACTGTTTTCATGAATGTTTTTGTACGAAATATATTAATTACTTAGTGCGTTAGACCCTGACCATCCGATTATGAACAGCGACTGAATAGTTAAACTGCCCCCGATCGTTTATCGCCATAATCCTGCCTTCAGTCCAACACAGCTTCCACCGAACACTCCAGCAGAGGATTCTCCATCTGCCTTTTGAACCTGCCATAAAAGAACGTGCCCCCAATTCGGTAGTCTCCAAGGTACAGAAACGATGGCACAATACTCCCATCAATGGTCCATCCATGAAGGTAATAGTAACCCCTGGTGATTGGGCAACTTGTGGCGAAGTTTCCCACTTTCAGCATCGAAGTGAACCATCGCCGATAGATCGACTCCTGAGCGCCCTTGATCAGCGCACAGTAGTTCATGTCGTGCTGGTAGACACTCTGGTACGGTTTTCCCTTGGACAGACGGAACTCAAAGCTCAGGTGTGCCTTCAGTCCCTGCCGCAGGGTGGTCACCAGCATCATGTCCATCATCAGTTTGGTTTTGATAATTTGTATGGTGAAGTTGGAGAAAGTGGATTTGTCGTATTTGCAGGCCCCAGTCCTAAATGTCATTTTGGAGGCCTAATTGGCAGTTGCTTTCTTAACACATCCTTTGAACAATGAACGGAAAGAACTTACCACATTATCCCGGATGACGACAGTTACAATCAAACAACACAGAACCGTGGGTACGAGCTTTGCGGCAAACATCGCGGGGTGTTGTAAGCCCGAACCCAACCACTAGCAACGAATTGTGAATAACGCAATTAACGTCATTTAATGGGTTTGTTATACCGTCAAAGTTGCGCGATTGATTGAGCGATCGGTCAAGCTTGAAGCCACTCGGACACGATAATTACCGTCGGACAAATCAGTTAAGTCCGACCTATTTGTTATGCATTGTGGCCTCCACGATGCACTGGACTATGATGAGCTGCTTCTTGGAGCGATATTTCCCATAGTAAACCAAGGCTCTAAGACGGTAGTCACCACTAAGCAGATATGAGGGTACCAAACCCATGTCCACGTGCCAGGCTTTGAGATAATAGTGGCCCGCGGGAATGGGACAGTTCTCCATAAAGTTGCTGTTCTTGGTCACGCTCTTCACCCAGCGCCGAAAGAGTGAATCCTTCAGGGTCGAAAGTAGCTCGCAGTAGTCCGTGTCGGTTTGGACCAGGCTCTGGAAATTTTGGCATTACTCAGGCGTAGCTGGACGTCAATGTGGCCCCGGAATCCGGCCTTTAGGGTCTGAATCAACCCAATATCTGCAGTGACTGTACTGTTGACAGCCGAGACGTTCAGAGCACTGAAGTACCTGGAATTCTTTTCACACTCGACGCGCGTCAAGCTTATGGAACTGAGCTGACGGCGCCAGAGTATATTAGGTCGCAGATCAGCTTGCTTCCGGAGAAGGTCTTACCTCTGCTATCGGCACAAGTACAGCCACCAGGACTAGGACTTCCCTCATCATAAGGCTTCCGAATCGTGGTCTGAATGCAACTGCTTCCCACCGTCAACGGTGATCTTCGTGACCGCTTGCACGCGAGTCCAATCCGCTAATTGGTTTTAAATTACTTCGAAATGGCGCAGTGGGTAAGCAGATATTTTTAGAATATTTATTTTGAGTACTAATTCACTCGTGACCGTGAATCAGTCAAAATGTCGGAAAACAAGCATTGGGCACCTAGTTTGCCTGCACAAGAGCATAGACATCTAGGTCCAGCACGACATCCTCCTGCTTCGCCTTGTGCTTGCCGTAAAAGAAGTGAGCGGTCACACAGTAGTCACCGGGCAGCATATACTTCGGAACCAGTTGGGAGTCCAGTTTCCAGTCATGGAGGAAGTAGTGACCCACGGGCACAGGACAGTTGTACATGAAGTTACTGTGCTTGAGCATGCTCTCAAACCAACTCTTGAAGAGATTAGTTCTTACCGATGAGACTACGGCACAGGTATCCACAATGTGGGCGAAAAGCCGCTGGTAGCTCTTGCCCTTGTCAAGGCTAACTTGGACATCGATGAGGACCTTGAGACCGCGGTGAAATGTCTTTGCGGTTGTCATATCCATAGACAGAGTGTTGTTGATAATTTCTAAGGTAAAGTTTTCAAAATGTGCGGTGCTGAATCGGCACTCTCCAGTCTGAAAAACAAACGAGGACTGTGCCGTAAGGACGCAAGGTTAAGAGATTATAAGAGATTTAAAATTATATGAAAATCACTTACTGCTCGAGTGGACACCAATTGGTGAAAACAGAGCAGACCAACAACTGCTAATGCTGTGAACATTTTCGCCCTGATGTCGAGAGTAGAATGGTGTTTTAAAATTCGTCTCTCGCACTCTGACTAAACTAGTTTTAATTGAAGCCCACAGAGCATATTAAGGGAATGCAGGTCACACATCGGTTACTTTATTTCAACTTCAAAGGCACAACCCATTACGTAGTCTCGGTCTCTATTCCTTAACTGGAACATGTCGAACTTAACTCGGTACTTCCCTGAGTACAAGAATTTTGGAATAAAGAGAGTGTTGTAGTTGTAGTCCCTCAAATAGTAGATGCCGGGCTCCACCGGGCAATATCTTTTAAAGTTGCCGGAACTAAAGAAGGTCGAAAACCATCTCTTGAACATGTTGTTCCTCTTTTGTGCCAGCATGGTGCAACAATCTAGCGAGTACTGGAAGATCTTCTGATACTTGATTGAGTTTTGCATGCTGATGAGAAACTCCATGTCCATCGTAACGCCAGCGAAAAGATCCCTTAACAAGCATACCTCCAAATTTACCCGAGAATTTTTTATCCATAGGGTAACGTTGGATAAGTAACTTCGGTTATAGTCCCCACATTTGCTTTCCAGCATTATGATTTTACCCATCTACGAATGTATGTATATAAGAGAGTTTATTTTTTAAGAATTTAAAAATCGGTTGATATTTACCACAGGAGTGATCAAGAAGCTCAAAGCCAACACAAAAATATTACAGCGTTTCATTGAAATGGTCGAAACTGGAGTTTGATGAAGCAACCAACCTTAACTAAGCTCGAATTTGAAGGTATTGACACTTAAATATTTATTTTCAAGTATAACCGTTTAACATAATTGATTCCCCACAATTAAAGGGGAGTTCTGTCAAATGACCGTTTAAAATAATAACATATTTATTTTATTTTGACAAAAAACAACGACCGAATTCACATTGATCGAATTTATTTGACTAGGACGAAGTGATAGAATGACCAGATCAAAATGTAGTTTACAATTGCAATCATTAGGAATCGCTTGAACTTGGTAAAATGAAAAGCGAAGCTAACAGGGAAATACACAAAAATTTCGAAATTTGATCATTATAATTAACTAAACATTTTACATATTAAGTAAACATACATAATAAACATAATGGATCGAATTGCATTATTTTTGTTTATTATGTTAATGTAATATGTTAAATGTTTAGTATATTATAAAATATTTCAGATTTTATAGTTCCAAAAAAGTATTTAAAAAGTTAATTGTCGTTTCGGTGCAAATAATGTAAAATGAGAGCATACACATAATACCAACGGTCAATTCTCAAATCCTAAATACAAATTTAAACAAGAAAGGAAGCTTACTTCGGCACGCCGAAGTTTATATACCCTTGCAGATAGAACTTCTATGACTAGGAATCCATACAATATAAAATATATATATTAATGTTAAAAAACAATGAAGTAATACCTGCTTTCATTTCATTCACCTATACATATTATATTTTCAGTTTTACATTCACATATTTGAATTTTTGCTCCACATCTAACGATCGTTTGTATGGTACCTATGTGATATAGTCGTCCGATTTTCATGAAATTTGACACAATATTTAAGACTGATATAAAATGGCTATACCTCAAGTTTGATGAAAATCTGTTGAAAACTGAAAATGTTATAATTTTTAATTGTCTTAATTACTCGATCGTTTCTATGGGAGCTATATGATATAGTTGTCCGATTTTCATACAATTTTATGTAGAGTATAGTAAAATGGCTATATCTTAAATTTGATAAAATTCTGTTGAAAACTAAAAATGTTATAATTTTTCTTGTAAAAATTTTCCGATCATTTCTATGGCAGCTATATGATATAGTCGTCCGATCCGTCCCGTTCCGACATATATACGAGTGAGAGTATATAGAAGACTAACTGCAAAGTTTCATTCAGATAGCTTCAAAACTGAGAGACTAGTTTGCGTAGAAACGGACAGACGGACAGACGGACATGGCTAGATCGAATCGGCTATTGATCCTGATCAAGAATATATATACTTTATATAGTCGAAGGTGCCTCCTTCACAGCGTTGCAAATTTCTGACTGAAATTATAATACCCTGCAAGGGTATAAAAATGGAAAGTTATAATTGTTTGTGCTTAAATTTTGATTAAGATTGCTTCTTTAACACACTCACGCTGGCTCCGGAAATACCGATGGTCGCTGTAGTTATCAACTTCTCAACTGGCGGTTCCAGGACAAATCACATCTCCCTAATAAAAAAACACCGATATTAAAAACTAATTAATTTAACTGAGATTGCTCTGAGTTTAATTAGCTAAGTGCGTCTCTTAGTTTTATATTAAAATATATGTCTTCCTTCTTAATCGGAATGGGATAGATCGGTCGAATATAAACAACGAGAAAATAATTAAAAAGTGTAGCGCAAACAATATATGGGGTATTTTTTTAAGTTTTAGAATTGTGGGACGAGACAGCAATATCTTAGAGCCTTTTGCAACGATCAGTATATATAATATACAGAAAGAGTTATTAGTCAAAAAGTTTTAAAATTTATTTATAATAAAATAGCAGGTGACTATCATATGTTTCATAGAATCTAGAGGTAATTTCGTATTAAAATCAATTTCCCATTCGATCCAATTGCAAAGTGCAAAAGAACATAACATTTTTAAAGCTTTAACTTAAACTTTTAAATCAAAATGATAAAAATCTTCGAAATTAAAATGCGAACTTGAATACTTCAACTGCAAATCATATTTGTTAAATATTTTTTAAGCCAAAATAATCTTTTCATAGAAAATCCATTATCTTTCCAAATACTTTATTTTTTTATATATTTTTTTTTATAATGCCAAAGCAATTATTTGTTCATGACGGTTGATCAGCAGTCGATAATCAGTGGATCATTATTGAGTGTTTAGCTTGTTTAGAAATGCAAAACTGAATTTTGAATTAGTTGCGATTAGTTGGTACAGTTACACGAATGAAGCTCAAAAAAAAATATTACGAAATTTTTGTTCAACTTTGGTGGCTGCTATTTCCAGATGCTATGGCATTTGTGGGTATTGTGTTTTTCGATTTTACGGTATTTAATAAATTTCCACAATAGAAATCGTTGGATCTACTCAGTCACAGATGCCAGCATAACACAAAGTACGTCGAAGGATTTAACATGTCGAGGGTAGAGAACCGAATTTCATGTCTGATGAGAACCAGAATAACAATACCTGCGGGTGTGAAGTTTTACATAAGCCTCGAGAGAGGCCTGGACCGTGCCGGACCATACAATACGTTCTTTAAATCTGATGTTGACTTTTGCAAGGTGATCAGCTCTTATAGGAACAACTTGTTCAAACGCTGGACCCATAGCTTGGAAAAACATGGACATATGCCTACCCATTGCCCCTGGCCGGTGGATGAATATTATCTGGGGGATTGGCAGCTAACAAAGGATCTCGTTCCGCCCTTTATGGTCGCTGGCATTTACAGAAGTAAAGTAATCACCTACCTTGGAACCTTTGGGTCGGACTCCTATGAGAAACTGATCGAGTGCGTGGTTATTTCTCAATATGCATGATGGGACATTAAAATAAACCAAGTGTGACATTTATATTATTGCTAAATGGATGGATTTCTAAAAGGGTCAGCCTGAAAATGAGACTTCAGGCTTTGAAAATAATAAGAAGACTTTAGGCGCTTTTACTTCTGTTTTCCTTTCTTTGAAGCCAACTATCTTTGGTTTTGTAGGCCGAGACTGATGTTTGCCATCCACTGACTTCTGCTCTTAAAAGTCCACGGCAAGGCAGTCAGACATCCGTAGTGCTCATCCAAAATGCAGTCAACGTGTCAATGTTTACCCGGAGTAGAGCCCAGCCCGGATTCCCAGTGCCGCATTTATGTGCACGGACCACTGCAGAAAACAATCGCACGTAATTCTGCTTACGCCGTTACATTGCAACAATGCACAGCGACAAAAACAGACAAAAAAGCGACGTGGCTTGCCATTTGTTAGCGTTTTCGGTTTTTTTTTGTCTGAACTTCTCTTACCCTAAACAAAATCCTTCCCCTACTGCTCCTCTGCGGTTGCGACAGTCTGATGGCCAAGCGTAGTGACTCACCGACAGATGGATGGACGGAGGACGGAGGACATGTCAGACAACGACCTATGCGCTTAATCAGAATAGGGTCTGTCGAAACTAAGGCGCCATTTGCAATTGTCCAGCCATTGGTAGCCCGGGACTGTGCCTACTTCCTGCCTGGGCACTGGTGTTGGCCAAATAAATGTCTTGCCTTCGCTTTTCTGTGCTCCCTTTCGGTTCTGTTTGTCCTTCGCTCTGCTTTCACTCTGGGCTGCCTGCTATCCTCCATTCATCCTGCCTCCGCCTGCATATTGCTTTTATTTATATAGGCCTGTTCTGACTTTTGATTTTAAGCTCTTTGGCTCTTCTAACTCAATTCCCCCATGAAGCTTTAGTCCTTGCAGCTGTCAGGGGGTCCAGGTACAGGTTGCAGTGCAGAGCGTCTGTCTGTCCGTCTGTCTGACTGTCTGTCTGTGGAAATGTGGTTGTGAGTCGCTTTATGTATTTGCGGATGCATTTACGTGTTCCGCCTCTTGCGGGTTGTGCAAATAGCACACTCGCTCTCGAAAACACACTTAGCCCCTCTGTAGGTCGTCAGGTGGCCAGGATCTTGGGCCCGTGGCCATAGTCTGATGTGTGACTTTTGTTTCTTGAAGCCTCCGGATTATGTGGGCTGCCCAAGAGGAGCTGGTTCTTTAATGCTTTCAAAATAACTCGGCAGATGCACCGTAATGACATGCTTCGGATGGCTGCACGTTACAATTGGTTGAGAGCATGTCGTGTTTGAATTTAGAATTCTATTTAGATTAATGGGAACAATGATGATCAATTTTGTGGAATTTTTTTGTTAGTAAATATAATATAGACTAGAATCGAACTCGAACCTATGTATATACAGTGAATTGAAACAAAAAAATAAACAATTTATTATATAATTCTTTTTACTATATTTATTGCTATTAAGTTTAAAGTATTACAATTTAAATATGTAAATATAATTCAAATATATTGTATTTATATAGAAATTCATTATATCGATAGGTATTATATTTAAACTCATTTTAAATATTTATGAATAGTTAGAGACAGATCAAATTTGAAATTTGGTTCCTTCAAAGAATATTGTTGTGTGAATTGTAAAACCAATACAACAAAATTTGTTTTATTAAACTTTCTTATACGGGGGTGCTACAGATAATATGAATATCAATAAACTAATTTTATTTATTTATCCTAAAAGTGGCAATTCCCATTTTTCTACATTTTTGGAATGATATTCAATGCAAAAATATATTCAAATATGATCTTCCTAACAGTACAAATTAAAAAGAGTACTTTCATAACCAAAAAGTAGTTAACTAATTAATGATCATCTAATATGATCATGATCATCATAAAGCAGTTTCTGAGACATTTATTTTTAAATATACAAATTTTACTATACTGGTACTAAAAGTAAAAAAAAAGATAATAAGCAATGTTACTTGCCAGCAATATCCTTATAACTTGATGTATGTAGGCTGATTGCCCCATGAGCTCCTTGCGACTCACATTGTAGAGAATGCTTCGTCAACGAATTCAACCACATTGCTCTGATTTGCACGACAAAAATGGTTCCAGCAGTGCGACTGGTTGCTCATTGTGCTCCCTCTCCTGCCACTTCAATTCGAAACGGCAATCAAAAGTGCAGCGGAGGAAGACAATTTTCACACTTGGCATGAAAGAAATATATTTTGCTTGGCAAATATGCTGACCTGACCCCTCAGAGCAAACAAGCTGCCAGTGCAGTGGCACTCGTGCGAGGCGAAGGAAAACGTCATCATAAATGCCCAGGGAAGGACTCTGAAGAAAATAGGAGCTGGGGCAGGAGCAGCAATCACAGGCGCCTGGAAGTATGCAATGCGAATGCGAAAAATCAACACAGGACAACGCCGAGAACGACCCCAATTACCCTCGTTTTGCAGTGTGAATGGGGTGGGATTGAAAAGCTGGAAAAATCCCTGCATATTTACAGGCGTTGTCATGAAAATTTGTCACCTAGCAGAGCAAACACCTCCGAATGCAGTGTGCAGTGTGCGTGTGTGCATGCGCCTGTTCGTGTAATGGAGCCTACAGATATGCAACCAACGAGTATTCCCAGTAATCGACACTTGGGCGAGGCAAACAGGACGCGGAGCCCCCATTGAGTTCCCGGCGCCGAGTTTGCGCCTACCGGCATGCAGTTTTGTAGGGGCAAGAGTGCACTGCCAGCCTGGAAATGTGCAACGTCGGGATTGGCCTACGCCGGACATGCTCATAAAGTTTGCAGGAGCGGACCGGATTGGTCCGAGGGCACACTTAAGGGCAGCTCCCAGTGCGCATGGGCGGCGAGAGCGCGCCAGGGACTTGCTCAGCAAATAGAAGAGCGCCGTGCGGTATGCAATGGTATTTTATTTTCATTCTCCCATGTGTTCCCATGTGTGTGTTCGAGCGATTAAAGCTCTGCGCGTGGTGAAAATGGGCAGGGATCCGCTCTGCAGTGGTGGTGGTTTCAGGACCATTCACTTTTACGCGAACGAGTATGTGTGGACTAATTGCATTGGAATGTTTTTGTCTCGTCGTCCTCGACGTTGTTGCTGCATTTGTTACTGCGTGTCTGTATTTGCATTCTCTTTTCGGATGTTTGGCATTGACTGCAGTGCAAATTGTTTCATTGGGACATTGCTCATATTGTGAGACTAAATACTTAAAGATACTTTTCAATAAATGCATTAGCGGTTATTCAATTATTTTGACATTTTTCACCCGGTGTCTCTTTAGCTGTGCTCAGCGTATTGACACTTGAGTTCAATTAAACGGACTTAGCCCTTATTGTTTTGTTTCAACCCCAAGTAACACCCTTGGGCCCAGTTTTTGTGTAGACTTTGCCTTCCTGCGCGCTCGTTTGGGTATCGCCTCTCTCCCTCAGTCGTGTTACTGTCATTCTTGGAAAAGTCTACAAAAACTGGGAGTGAATTCGCCATGATTTTGGCAATAAAGAAAGCTTTCATACATAGTGGAAAAATAAGGATTCCTTCTGTTTAAAGAGTCAATGCTGTTTTAAAAATATATACAAATCAAATAAATATATATAAATATTCAAATTCAACTACTATTATACTCTCTTCTACTTCTCTTTTTAATTATTTAATAAATCATTCATTGTCGAGCACTATAATCGACTCTCTTAATTTTAGTACATTTTAATGCTAATAATAAATGTAAAAATTCTTATTCGGCTATCTGATTGCTGTTGAGAGTCATCCAGTATTTGTTGGCATTTTTACAGTGCCTTCCAAAAGCTTTCAGGATGTGTAGAGTTTCGGACAGGAGGTTTGTACTTGTTGCCATTGTTGTTGTTTGAGGCGAATTCGAATACGCAACATGTTTGAGGATTCTATGCCTCGCGCGGAATGATGTGGCTATTCAAATGACGGGATATGTATTAATTCGATCCCATTAACTCGCCCGAGCTAAGCTCACCATTGATGAAGTATTAGCTGATTATGATATGGTAAGGACCAAGTGGCTCCAGCAGGAGCTGCATAGTTGCAAAGGCTTGCCTTACTCTTGGCCAAAAACATGTTGGCCCTGGCTGTAAGTGTTAGTGTTGCCTCCTTATTTGCCGGCTAGCGGTTCGTAGCTGCCTGTCCTCGGCCAACTTCGTCGGCTCTGGCATCTCGCCTCGTCCTCGTTGTCGTGTTCGCTTGCAGGTGCCGTCGGCTGCCACAAGGACTCGTGCATTTGGATAGGTTCGTGTTCGTTGCACAATTCACCAGCGATGGCAAGCTTTGGATTTTTTCGGAATGCGTTAAGGATCAGTTTTGCGCGAATTACGGTCACGAAAGGTTGCCGACGACAAAGAGCCGGCGTCCGAAGCAAACAATTCCACAGTAACAAAATTCAGCAGTCTTCCTCTCTGTGTGTGTGAGAATGTTCCGCGATTTTCTCAGCTTTTATTGGAGACCCAAAAGAAACGATACCGCCTCTAGAAACTGACCTAGGGCAGATTTTGGGAACGTAACTGACCTGAGTCAAGCCTCAAAAGACGATACCGAAACCAGACAAATATCGATTAAACTTTTGCATATTTATATGAATATTTATGGAAAGAGCGATTCGTTTTGAGAAACTACGTAGTTTGTGAAAATAGCTTATAAGCGGTAGAAGTGCGAAATCCTAGTTTGTAGTACAAGCCCATTTTTGTTAAAATTCTCAAGCCCTTTGTAAATGGTTAGAACCTTCTAAGAATCCCTCTATTTAATATAAGCTTACAGCAAGTTACTCACAGACCTTTCCCCATATCGCTCGCTTAAACTATTAATGGTTGTGAACTGTAGTATGTAAAGAATCAAAACGATTTATCAGGACTTAGAAAGTAAAACCCTATAATTCGATGTGCTTCTCCAGTATTTAGTATCAATAATAAGCTAAGACATTGATGTACGAATATAAAAATAATTCAGATATCAATTAGTGA